GCTTGAGCCCAGGAGTTGGAGGTTGCTGTGAGCGTGATGCCATGGCACTCTACCCAGGGGGATACCTTGAGGCTCCGTCAAAAACAAAAAAACAAAAAAAACCAAAAAAAAACTCAGAGAAAAATCAACCAAAGAGGAGATATGCTGCTTAGAAATACAGAGGAAACCTCTCAAAGTTTAGAGAAACATGAACTCATGTATCGGATGCACAGGCTCTACAAGAAGATAACATGGAAAAAAGGATGAGAATAGAACCACTTTCTTCTATCAGAGTGAGAGCCCTTCCATGAGAAGAGAGCTGAAGAAAGTAGGATGGCAACTCTACCAAACGAGAGAACGCGCAAAGAGCTAAGAAAATGATCACAACAGACAAATTCCACATAATACAGAGCTCATGTTCCAGCCTTTCCCAAGGGGCCCTTTTCTTCCTGTGGTTCCACATGCAGCCTGGAGGCCAACAGAACAGAGGATCCCAAGGACCATCAGGTCCCCAGGAGGAGGACCAACCTGTGATGGCTCAGGGATCTGTGGTCACAGGCATCCTGATTCAGCTTTCAAGCAGCCGATCCTGGACATATCCAACTACCTCTAGACAGTTGCCTGATTTCTCTCTTACAAAGTAATTTTGATCTGTTTTTACATTAACTGTTATTTAATCAATATCATAATAATTGCTCATATATAAGCTTGATAGCATTAAAATGCTTACTATTTTTCAAATATGTATGTATTTAATATAATTCTTCTTCTTAGAGTACCATGGAATCAAACAGCTCACAGCAACCTCCAACTCCTGGGCTTAGGCGATTCTCTTGCCTCAGCCTCCCAAGTAGCTAGGACTACAGGTGCCTGCCACAACGCCCGGCTTTTTTTTTGTTGCAGTTTGGCCAGGGCTGGGTTTGAACCCACCACTTTCGGTATATGGGGCCAGCACCCTACTCACTGAGCCACAGGTGCCTCCCATATTTAATATAATTCTTATAAATATATTATTGCCACTTCATTGTACCCACTACAATGATGGGTGTAAGTATTATAAGCTGATTTTTTTTTTTGAGACAGACTCTCACTTTGTCACCCATGGTATCATAGCTCATAGCAACCTCAAACTCTTAGGCTCAAGTGACCCTCTTGCCTCAGCCTCCTGAGTAGCTGAGACTACTAGGTGCCTACCACAATGCCCTGCTATTTTTAGAGATGGGTTTGGCTCTTGCTCAGGCTGGTCTAGAACTCCCAAGCTCAAGCGATCCACCTGCCTCAGCCTCCCAGAGTGCTAGGATTACAGGTGTGAGCCACTGTGCCCAATCTTATAAGCTGACTTAAATACAAGTTTCACTACTATTTAACACATTGTTAAAGTTTAACATGGATAGGGCAGTTTAAAACAATGAAGACCACTTTCTGCTTCTGTATATTGTGAACTATTATTAAAAATAAATTGGTTTTTGTTAAATGAAAAAAAACCCCACAAAAACCTAAACACTACCACCAGGAAAGTCAAATTTGTCAATATTTTTTATTAATTTACCCTAAATTCATATTTAGGGGAATTGACATCTTGTAATCCTTTTACAGTGCAATTCTGCCACAAACTACCAAGAGTTAGGTCAAATTTCACAAGCTTAGGGCATAGTCCCCCACAAGTCTGCCCTCACTTCAGTAAGGTCACTTGTCACCAGCCCCAAGATTTGTGAGGGTCCTCAGACAAACAAATCTGAGTGTTCCCAAGACTCCTTCAGGTTTGATAATTTGCTAAAATGACTCAAAGAACTCAGGAAGCGGCTATACTTATGATTATGGTTTTATAAATAAAGAGTGCAAATCAGACCCAGCCAAATGAAGAGAAACATAGGGCAAGGTCTGGGAGAGTTAAAAAGCTTCTGTGCCCTCAAGACACATCACCCTCTAACATCAATGTATAATTACCAACCCAAGAAGCTCATCTGACCCCACTGTCCATAGTTTCTACTGGGGTCTCATAATGTAGGCATGACTAACTGAATCACTGACCACATGACTGAACTTACCCTCTATCTAGCCCCTCTCCCCTCCCAATGAATGGGTCAGAGGGGCTCAAAACCCCAGATAGTTGATCAGATAGTTTAATCAGATAGTTGATCATTTAGGTGTGGAAAGCTCCTCCTCATCCCACCCCCATCCTCTATTCCCCCTCCTAAAACTAGTGCTCCCACCATGAGACAGTTCATTAGCATAAACTCAGGTGTGGTTCAATGAGCCACAATAAACAGTGAAAATACTCCTATCACCCAAGAAACTATAATTTAGAGGTGGTCTTGAAGGAGCCAAGGGCAAAGGCCAAATTCTTTATTACACAACATATTTGTTTCATATTTTAACATTTTGGGGGATTAACCTTTGTTATCATGTTTCAGAAATTCTCTGCCATTTAAGTAATCCTAAATTTCATGCAGTCAAAAGGTTTTGATTTATGGCAAATCTAACCAAACCAAACACAACAACAAAACAAAAGCCTACACTAGTAGAATTCCCCACCCCTCAGGACAGCGTGGTATCAATCTGTAAAATTATGGTTGATATCTGCTTCAACCATGAGTCTTTTTTTTCTTTTTTTGAGACAGAGCCTCAAGCTGTTGCCCTGGGTAGAGTGCTGTGACATAACAGCTCACAGCAACCTTCAACTCCTGGGCTCAAGCGATTCTCCTGCCTCCACCTCCCAAGTAGCTGGGACTACCACCAGTGCCTGCCACAACGCACAGCTATTTTTTGGTTGCAACTGTCATTGTTGTTTGGCAGGCCTGGGTTGGATTCAAACCTACCAGCTCAGGTGCATGTGGCTGGCGTCTTAACCGCTTGAGCCACAGGCACAGAGCCCATGAGTTTACATTTTAAAAGACACATTGAAAACATTCTCATCAGTTATAGAGCAAAGATCACTGGTACCCATTTTCCTTGTTTTTTTTTTAAGACAGTCTCAAGCTGTCGTGCAGTGGCGTCAGTGTACAGCAACCTCCAACTAGGGCTTAAGCAATCCTCTTGCCTCAGTTTTTCTATTTTTAGTAGAGATAGGGGTGGGGGACGTTGATTTTTCTTAGGCTGGTCTCAAACTCGTGAGCTCAAGCAATCCACCTGCTTTGGCCTCCCAGATTGCTAGGATTACAGGCATGAGCCACCGTGCCCAGCCTTTGGTTTGTTTTTTATACATCATAGAGTCCCTCACCCATAGGAAGAGTCAAAACCCTACCATGTCCCTGATACTTGCGTGCTCACACACAGAAGATGTGTAAGCAAGACTGGCATTTGGTGTGAATTAATTTCTTCCTGAGGAGATGAATGATAAAAAATAGCAGACTGTTCTGGAAAATGGAAAACTGTGGGGGAAGCTGGCTGCCTTCCAAAAGGAGGAGAAAAACAGACCATTTCCAACAATAATCAGGAAATAAAGGTGTGGTGAAAAATCTGCACAAAAGGCTATAGTGTAAGGTCATCCAAATGCATTTGTACACAGAACTGAAAAATACATAAAACCTCATCTCATTAAAAATGTGGACACTCGAGATTCCTGACTACTTCTGAGTCATAGCTTGCTATTCAGAAGGTCCTTCAGTGGAAAGTCTCACTCAAAATAACAAAAAGAGTTTAGCCAAACTTCACAACTCAACTAGCACAGTAAACATGTGATGATCCAACCACAGCTATGTGAATTATTTAAATCTATCCTAAATTGAATTTATTATATTTTTAGGTATGATAACCAGTACTCTAATAAGAAAAATTATTTTGTCTGGGCATGGCTCAGGCCTGTAATCCTACCACTCTGGGAGGCTGGGGCAGAGGATTCCCTTGGCCTCAGGAGTTCCAGACCAGCCTGAGCAAGAACAAAATCTGGTCTCTACTAAAAATAGAAAAATTATCACGACTGTGTTTGCCCAAGAAAAAAAAAGAAAGAAAAATTAGCCCTGCATGGTAGTGTATGCCTATAGTACCAGCTACTCTGGAGGCTGAGGCAGGGGGATCCCTTGACCCCAGAAGTTTGAGGTTGCTGTGAGCTATGATAACACCACTGCCCTCTAGCCCAGTGAGACTCTGTCTCAAAAAAAAAATCTTTCAAACTTTACATTTATAATGCCTTGTTGCTCCACCTGCTATTTCTTAAGGGCTCACTACATGCCAAGCACTGTTCTAAGCCCTGGGATTACACACAGGTGAACAGGCAGATGATTTCCTTCTCAGGGAGTTTATAACAGTTTGATTCTGACTGATTCAAAACAAAGCAAACCCCTACAAGAAAATCAAGCATGGTTAAGGTCCATTTTTGCAAAGAAAAAAGCTAAGCCTTACAGGTGAGTCGTAGGTGCAGCTTCACAGAAGGTGAATCACATGCACAGGCCAGGTTAAGTGGCAGAGTTAGCAAAAAGGAGCCAAGCCTAGGAATGCCAGGTCCAGTGATCTCTCCACTCAGAGAAGGTTGAAACAAACAAACCTGAACAGTTTTAAATATGAAAGACTTTAAATGCAGGTAAAAAACATTCTCATTACAGAGTTTACTCCCCCAAACACCTATTAAAAAAAAAAATTTAAACTGTTTTTAATCTTACAAAGAAAATGAACTCATTTGAAGGTCCCGGGCTGCGTCACTTTCAAAGCCTAAAGGATCTCCTGAAAGCTCCTAATCCCAGCTTTCTGCAACTTTGGGGATGGGGTGAGGGTACAGATGCAGCCCAGGGCATCCATCAGGCTGGCCAGCCACATACCTGGCACCTGGCGGGACTCCTTCAAGTCCAAGATATCCCTGATGTAGAGTTTTGCAAAGGCTAGAAACACAGGATCCAAACCCCATAACAGGGAAGGGGTCTCCTCTTCACACTGGCTGGATTCAGACTGCATCAAGAGGCTGGGTTGTGGCTTCCAACCGACCCTGAAAGGTTCTGCACCACTGAGTCAAGGATCTAGATGAAGGACACAAAAATTAGAATGCACGGTGTTTAACGTGGGTGAAATGGAAATGGCCTTGAAACCCCTCCCAAATGGGAGTCCAGACACTGGGAAGGGTAGACCCAGGGGTCCAGGGCCCAATCTAACGCCACGCCACGAGGTGTGGAGAGGCGTTCCTTGTGTTAGGACCCTATGTCTCTCTCACTATTCTCCTTGTCCCCAAGGACCAACTTTTTCACTTTTAGGAGATACGTCCACACAGGCGTACCCTGAAACCACTGAGGTGCGGGGAGGAATGAACACCTTCGTGGCCACGCACGTGCTGGGGCACAGGAGGTGCGTCCGAGTGTCCCTCAACCCCTAAACCTTCCACTTTTCAGGATGAAGCCAGAAAAATGAAAAAGGAAACAAAAAAAAAACGGGCCACCTCCGGGCCCTTCCCGCCGCTCCTAGCTCCAGCTCCAGTCCTTCCGGCGCCGGAGCAGTGGCAGCTGTCGCCTTCGGAGTTCCGGTGGGTCCCGCGCCCCGGCACCGCCCCCAGCCGGGACCAACCAGAGTCTCCCCGCCTGGCCTTTTCCTTCCTGCGGATGCGCTTCGCCGAGGCTCCGCCCCAGTCCTCCAGAGACTCCACCCACCCACCGAGACCCCGCCCTGTTTGGGGCCGCCTGCGGCCCCGCCCCCCGCTTCTGCTCCAGGTGGCCTTGGGGCTGCTGGGCGTCCTTCTGGGTCTGGCGGGGCTCCGTTCAAGTTGAGGAGACCTCGGAATTGGCTCTGAAATTGCAGCTGCTCAAACCTTGCCTTCCAAGTCACCTTTTCACCCCATTCCCTGCTGGTGACAGGACCCTAATCCAGGATGTACAAGATATTGGGACAGGATCAAAGTATTTTTGGTTTTGTTCTGGTTCCTGATATGTTAAACAAAAAAATAAGGCAGTATGAAAAGGGCAGTTGCATTGTGGCATATTTTAAATGTTTATTTACAGCTGGTAAATGATCTGCAGACACACATGCATTGGGACTCTACAGTTTCACTTGGAGATAATGTCAGTATCTAAATTTGAGCCCTTGAGTAAATATGAGGTCTTGACTCTGCCAGGCACTAGCCCTGCGAAATCATGACAATACATTTTGTCTGCTTCCCTCTTACTGGGTCTATAAATAGGTAAGTTGTATACTTAAGAACTTTGAAAAGCTGGCTTTTATGTAAGTCATGGCCACCTTGATGGTGTTTAGTTTCCAGCAGTCCTAATTTAAAGTGAAAAAAGATAGCCACTGATCCATTCCCATAAAGAAGCTATGTAGAGACATTATCCCAAATGGCAAGAATTCTCCCTAATTTATAGATAAACTCTGGAAAATGGCAGGAGGAGTACAGGTCACCCAGGCAGGCCATTCTGGGGGAGTCAAGTGGTAGCTAAAGAGATAATTGCTAAACTATTTATCAGAGAAGGAACTTTAAGCAGCTGGAATGGAAAATGTGTCATTAAAACCACGGCATTTAATTACCTTCCTGGCCACTGAAGAAGCTAAAAAACAGAGTCCTTGGTAAAGTACAGCATTGCTCACATACTACTGCAATAAACAGTTGAGTCTGTATCACTTAAGATTTAATCAAGAAAAGATATCTGCTCTTATAGGAGGCAGACTGTCATCAAGGAAGCACACCCAGCGGGAGAGGTGCTTCCTGCTGACCTGTCAGATGGGGAGAGACAGGTTGAGTGACATTTTCCTGACTACACATCTGGTTCAGGGCGGACCCCAAGAAGAAAATCACTACTGGGTGTACTCAGAGCCTGAGATGATTTCAGGAATGACGCTCATGGCTCTCAGGGGTAGAGTGCTGGATATAAGAGCCCTTGGGGAGGACCACACCCAGGTGGTGTAAGAATAGTAGACTGCCCTGGTGTCATCTTTTACAACAAAGGGAGGACTCTTTGGAGTCTAGGGGTATTCCTTTTGATGTGAACCCAACATCTACAGTTATGGAAACTGAAGGGAAGATTAGAACGGAATTTCCAGACTGCAGAAGCATCTGGAGGAGTGGGGGAGGATCCTCTTCCCTTCAGTTTCCATAACTGTAGATTCCAAGTTTACCAAACCACTGCCTGGACCTGGAGGGAGGAACTCCTTACATCTTTACCAACACTGAATGAGGGCTTCTCAGTTTGGGATTCGGCAACACTGTAAAGTACATACTTCAAAACTCAACATTTAACAATGCTAGGAACTCGTTTTTATGGCTTCTCAGTGGGAAACATGGTAAATTGGGTTTTCAGGCATTTTTGATGAAGACACAATCATTTCTAGAAAGTTGAAATCTTAACAAATTCTGAAAAATGAGGGAATTTGAGGTATGAGTAGATATCTCATATCTCAAAGCTCAAACTATCTTGCTTTAAACATATTTGACATCTTTACAGGTATAATGGAGTTTATGTACTTGCAATTTGGGTTAGATTTTCTGCCTGAAGTTTATTGTTGACAAAGATTTTCTCTTTGACCAAACATAGATCAAGTTCCTTTGAGCCCTCTTCTCAATTAGGGTTTAACCTTGGCCTACAAAGACTAGAACAAACACTAATGTAGTTTTTTTTTTTCCTTTCTTTCTTTCTTTCTTCTTCTTTTTTTTTAATTGGTTCAGGTACAAAGAATTAGATTACATCATTTGCATTTTTTAGGTAAAGCCCCTCTTATAATTGTGTCCCCCTCCCAAGAAGTGTGCTATCCACTGTAACCCCCATCTCCTCCATCCTCCCCCTCCCTGTTCCCTCGTTCCCCATCCGCCATCTTGAATTGATTTAACTTTTTCTCTTATGTGGGTACTAAGCAGTTTTCAATAGCTCAAGGCCACATTCCTAGGATGACCCTATTCCCCAAGAAAGTGCCTGTCTAAGAAAATTTAAACCTACCAAAAGAATGCACTGTTTGTTCCAGCCAACACCTGAACACAGGGCCCCTGTCTCCCAGGCTCCGTAGGAGGATAGGAACCTAACTTCAGTGTGTACCAGTTGGTGAACCTAGGTGGTTTCACATGGACCAACCTCCTCCCACTTTTTATAATTTTTCACTTCTCAGACTCAGCTTAAGCCCCAGCCATTCCTCCCCAGTCCCTACTCCTCATTTTCGATTTAAAAAGTCTAGTTACCTCTCTACAAATCTGCAGGGACCTCAGTTCTTCAACCTACTGTCAATAGTTATTGAATAAAATCTGTTTTCACTGCTTTAATTAAAGTGTGATGGTGTTTATCTGACATAATAAAATCAACTTATCAACATCCTAATTATGTTAATGTTATAACACTGGTAGGGACACCTACAAATGACTCAGCAAACCTGGAGATCTCTCTGTGTGCTTTGGCACTGCCTCTGGGGTGGCACTAATTATATCTGGAGGACAAAGAATGAAGCATGTAATATATTAAATAACAAAGCAAGAGACTAGATTGTGACTAAATACAGCATGAGTGACCTGTATAATATTAATAACTACCATATGAGTTACAGGAGGTAAATGGAGGGGCCTTGTTAAGTGAGGTAACATATATAACCACTGGAACTAAGCATTCGATACATATAAGCTATTATTTGCATCCACTATGGAGGTGGGATTTAAGCTGGGCTTTGACACTATGAAGAAGCTGCTCATTCATTCATTCAAGAAGCGTATTTTTAAAGCACTGTACTAGATAAGAGCGATGGGGTTCCGGCCCTCATGGAGCGTCCATTCTATTGGGGGAGAGGAGAAGGACAATAAATAAGTAAATGAATAAATAAGTAAAATGAATACAGATTGTTCTCAGTGCTTTGAAAGAAAAGACTTGTTTATGATCATTCAAAATGGGGTGTGGGATCTACTTTGTATGGATCTGCTTTCATCAGATGAGATGAAGTGACATTCAGGCTGAGACCTGAAGGGTAGGTAGCAGCCACCCTACAAATTGCTGAGGACAGAACATTCCAATCATCAGTTAAAGCAAGGACCATTGTCTGGAGGCAACAAAGTACTTCCCTATTCAAGGAATCTAAGAGACAGTGCAGCAGCGGTTGGAGAGCAAGGCAGAAAGGACCTTGTAGGCAGCAGTGGCTCATGCCTGTAATCCCGGCACTCTGGGAGACTGAGGTAGGTGGATTGCCTGAGCTCACAGCTTGGAGACCAGCCTGCGTCAGATGAAAACCTTGTCTCTAAAAAAAAAAGAAGAAGAAGGCTTAACACCTGTCGCTCAGTGGCTAGGGCGCCAGCCACATACACTGAGGCTGGCAGGTTGGAACCCGGCCCTGGCCAGGTAAATAACAATGACAACTGCAACAAAAAAATAGCCAGGCATTGTGATGGATGCCTGTAGTCCCAGCCAGCTACTTGGGAGACTGAGGCAAGAGAATCGCTTAAGCCCAAGAGTTTGAGGTTCCTGTGAGCTGTGATGCCACAGCACTCTACCAAGGGCAACAAAATGAGATTCTGTCTCAGAAAAAAAAAAAGGATCTCTAGGCCATGACAGATTGAGAGTTTATTTCTAGTCTCCCTACATGTAACCAGGGGGATGATATTGTGATGAGTGGGAGCAGGGCAAAGGCAGCAAGGTAAGCACTTCTTGTTCACTGGCAAGCCCACACAGCAGCCTGGCTGAAGAGGGCGGCTCCAGTGGAAACTGGCTGAAGACCAAGACTTTAGCTAGGTTCTGAAGGACTTGAAGTACCTTCTACTTTTATTCCCTGTAAGCAACAGGGTATTGTTAATTACTGATCAGAAGAATGATTTAATGAGTTAAAAAATTGTAGGCATACTTGTCACAAGTAACATACTATGGTAAGGAAAACAAAAATATACAATAATTCAATTTACTGAATCTATCCTAAAAATAGCCCTGTCTCAGGGCTATTCACCAGTTAATGAACCTAGAGAAAGAAAAGATTGCTGGGCCTGTGGAAGTGGGCCTTGCCTACATCATTTGTCCTCCTGCCTCCTCAACAACTTTGTTCAACCCTCTATGAAGTTACCCACCCTGTTTTTCTGGCTTCCCTTTGGGCCACAAGCACGCTCTCCTACTCTCTTCAAATGTCATCCAGCTTTCAGGCCAGGTATGGTGGCTCATGCCTGTAATCCTAGCACTTTAGGAGGCTGAGGCTAGAGGATTGTTTGAGGTCAGGAGTTTGAGACCAGCCTGAGCAGGAGCATGACCCTGTCTGTACAAAAAATAGAAAAAATTAGCTAGACATTGTGGTAGGTGTCTGCAGTCTCAGCTACCTGGAAGGCTAAGGCAGGGGGATCATTTGAGCATAGGAGTTGGAGGCTGCGGTGAGCTATGATGCACTCTAATACTGAGCTACTGCACTCAAGAGAGAGACTGTCTCAAAAACAAAACAAAACACCCCCTCCCAAAAAACAAACAAACAAACAAACAAAAACCTACAACGAAATAAAAAAAAAAAAGTCTCTCTAAAAA